TTCATAGTTAATCCGGTGATTCTGCTTTTCTGATTCAGTTTTATTGCCATGATACGATAACAGATTGAGCTTGAAATAAGTTTTTCATCAGATAAAATAGCTTAGCATTATGATAATAATACTATATTTACAAACCATTAAATGTTTCATGATAAATGACATCACAATTGTTACCCAAATGATTTCGTAATATTGATAAAAGTTAATCAACTAATCGGAATGAATCTTGAATAATCAAAGAAGATGATGAATTAACATGAACCAGAAAACAACAACAACAGCAAAATCATTATAATCAAGATACAGATAGTTAGAGAATAATAATTTCCAGATTATCAGGTAAAAGACCATGAATAATGAATGAAATGAATATTATCTCTGGTTCTGATAACATTTTCTTACTAATCTTTGGTGATACTAAATTTGGATAATCCTCTTAGCTCTTGCACTAATTAGTACCAAAGAAACATGAGTAACAATAATCTGATTAATATGAGTTCTTGTGTGTATGTGTGTATGTGTGTTTGTTTCTAACTGTAACTTGATGCTGAAGAGATTTGAAACCCCATGGTGGGTGTTGAGTAACTCGATAAGTTCATTCCGAGTGTCTAATTGTTTGAATCAAAGTTATTATCGAGTGAACTACCGATCATAATCATGAGTACCCACAACTCTTATCAACTCAACTGGAACTTAACATTCAATTACCTTATCTAAACTGAATGAGGGCCAAGCCTTGAGTTTAATGGTCAAAAAGGTCATTGAAGGGTTAGTGTTGAGCTTGAGAAGTTTTTTTTATCCATTTTCGAGTTAATTGTCTCTGGAATTATTGAAATTACTACAGATTAGGACTAATAAGAAATGAGAATAATTCAATGTTTACTGAAGATTATCGAAGTTATCTTAATGTTTGGTTCAATTGTTTGATCTTTTTGTCGAAAATTTAATGAAGTTAATATGATAGATATGAAGAAACGGAAAAAAATTCTACTCATTGTTGATGTAACCATTATCTTTTGGGAATTCGTTATATTAATAACTATTAGATAAAAGTTCTAAGAATTTTTCTACCGTTATAAATGTAGATAAAAGTTTGATTTCAAAATTTCTGTGTATTTGGTTGACTGAAAATTAGAGAGAGACAATTTTCCTTACACCACAAATAGTAAAGATAATTCGTAAGGTGTAATAAAGTTTATCTATTTTTCCTTATATCGAACTGAAACAAAAAACGAAAAGTTCTGATTAGAAGTAGAAAAGTAAATGTTATACATTTTAGTTTAAAATGAATGAAACAAATAATCGAGATTCTTGTTTACTCATCTTATTTACCTTCCATCAGAATTATTAAAACAATCGATAAGAAGAGATTTGTTAACATTGTCAATTGCGATTAGAAGATAAGAGAAACTTTTTTTCTCTGTTTGGTTTATAAATAAGTTTCACTCATTCCGAAAATAAGTCTCGTTCAGATATCATGATATAAAATTGGATATTATTATATTAATATTATCGATGAATATTTTTCCTTCCCCCTTGGAATTTGATTCATCTAATTTAATAAAAAGCATCACAAGCATAGAATTTTTTTCACATGGAATATATTAAAGAACTAAAAATATACTAAATAGAAAACGAAAAAAATATCAAATTAGAATTCATTTCTTATTCCATCGTGTAGATGGCGACACTAAACAGGGAATGATAAGATGATAACTAAACAGAGAACCTGTTTATCTTTGATATAGAACAGCAGATGGCACCACACAACAGAGAATTCAACTCAGCATTTATTAATTTATTTTTTAGAATTCGAATAGAAATTATCCTTAATTGTTAGAGAGAAAAGTTGACAAGAATAATTAATTCAAATTCTCATTCAATTTTCCAGGCAAAAGTTCATTTCTTATTTTACTAATCAAAACTCGATATGACTGATTAAATTTTCCAAACTAAATGTAATTCGATATCTTTTGAACTCTATCGATATTAATAAATATATTCTCTATGGTAGATTTCTAGAAGAAAATTTTTCTTTTTCATTTTTGTTCTCATATACAATATATTATATCTTTTTTTGTTCATTTTTCTTTCGAAATTTTTTTTTTTTGAAAAATTTGCTACGAAAATGTTACAAAATGTTCACTGTAACATTTTTCTCACCAAAAGAAAAGACATTGACAATATTTGAACAAAATACCAATAATAAGATAACATATGTCCAACAATCAATTGATTGATTAACGATGTAATAATTTACACTTTCATGAACATGGGTCAGTCATTCCATGAGATGGTCAAGTTTTTTTTACTGAAGCTGTTACCATGATGAGGAAGAGGTAGAAAAAAAAGCTTTCCAATTCAACACACTGAGTACTAAACATGATAATATTAGTTGTTCACATCTTCAGAACTTTTTTTAAATCTACAAAAAGCAAAGATAATCAAATTGATAAAAATTTACCTGAAATCGATTGACCGATGTAACTTAATTTTTCAACCACGAAAACTAACCAATGGTCAGTAAAATAGTGAATAATAGATTTCGAAGTCATTTCCTGTCATTATCATTGTTATATCAATGGTCTAATATGATCATGTACATTATTCAAATTACTTATTGACCAGCGGTCATAATAATAAAATGGATGTGCTAGTTTTTAAAAAGAAAAATAATTAAATTTCTATTCAAGATCAATCAATTGAAAGGTGACAATTATCATTAAAAAATATTGGACTAGAAAAGCAGGAAGAGAGAAAAGTAAAAGGAAAAATATGAAACCGGAAACAGAATTGATGCTGTTAGAGTGATAATGTTGTACAAAAACTTGGACAAAATGACTGAGAGAGACTCAAAAAGTGTGGATGAAGATGAATATTGATTAGATCATTTTTCATCCATTAACCAATGGCTAAAATAATAATAGCCTTTAATCATCAACAATCCCCGCTCCCCGCCGACCCAAGTCATCATCATCATCATCATGTCTCCCATTTGGTCATCCTTATAACTATAATATTAATAATATCAGATCGATAATTTTACCTTAACACTTGAAATCAATTGAATATCATCACAAGTTGATCATGTTTTCCAAATTATCGTCATCACCATCATGACCATCATGAGAAATTTATTTCTTCCTCTTCATTAGCATCTTCCTATTTTCCATCATCATCATCATCATCATCTCAAAATCCACTCCTCTATGTATTAACTTTTTCTAAACATGAATCTAAAAATATTTTCTTCCTCATGATAATAATAATAAAAACTCATGATGATGATGACGATGAGATGTTAATTATATATCAGAATCAATCTATTCTTCATCATCTTCTTCCTACTCGAGATATTTAATCCTTATTATCATCATTGACCTTAATCTTTTATCTTTGCACTAATGAGGATTAACTAACAACTTAATTTGAAATTACGCTTTTTTCTTACAACATTCATCCACCCACAGGATTAACATGTGACTAACCTTATTAAAAGATGACAAGACTAACTGTTTTCCAAATGATCAATCTAACAATCAGTCAATCACTGATTAACATCAGACAATTAAATACATAAAATATCAAAGAGTATAAAACAAAAATCGTAAGACTTTATAATAAACATTGAAAGTGTTCAAAGCTCAATGAATCAAATCATTAATCGTCCTTGTCATATATATAAATTGATCAGATTTGATTGTATTATATTGATATTATCATCTAATTGTGATAATAATGATGTTGATAATGATCATCATCAATATCGCAATCATTAAGAAGATACATTGAAATATCATCATGATAATACCTTTTTCTATTAGAAACTCAAAACAATTGATTACATTTATCATCTTTAATCATCACAAATCAATGATGATAATATTAACTCTCCGTATGATTGATGTTAAGTGTAGGATAAAATACTCATCATTTATTTCATGATATCAATCGCAATTGTTATTATCTTATCATTGAACTTTTATATATTTTTTTTCTTCATCAATTAAAGATAATTATCACCTTGAAATCTATTGTTTATATTTATCCATCGGTATGGATCAGCTGAAGTCACTTATCGTGATAAAGTTGCTGGAGTTATCCTCATCTTTATCGAGAACTGAAAAGTTCTAGTTTTTTGAGTTTTCGAGAAAAAAAAGTTTCTCTTTCCATTCAATTGAAACTGTCACTTGAATTAATAATTAATTGCTGGGTTTTGATTGTTTCCTTTGTTTACTATTTCACAATTGATAATAGAGATCAGGGTCTATCTCATTCTGTTTTTTTTTTGCTGTTCTCTCCTCTTTTCATGATAAATCATAAAGATTTGTAACTGTTACTGAAGAGGAAAAAAAAAGTTCCAACTCAGGAGGAAAAGGTGGGAAAAAATTCTAGACAGAAAAGGTTGATTATGATGAAGAAGAAAAGAAATGTGAAGATAAAATCCAATGAAAGATTTTTCTTTCTCACTTTCTTTCCAATTTCTAACAAATCAATCGAAGGAAAAAAAAGAGACGAAGATACAAAAGAAGAGAAATAGATGATAATAATGATGAGAAGAAGAAAGAAAGATAAAGTTACTACAGGGAGAGAATAAGAAGAAGAAAAAAAAATATCGAAAGACTCGAAAAACATAGAGAAAGACAATTCTTTGAATCTCTGATCCCGCGCTTCTCTTAGCATCCTCATCCCTCATCTTCATGGTGATGATGATGATGATGCTACCAAACCATCAATAGAGATTGCGTACATAAAGAAAAACAAAATCATCCTCGATTCTGATGATAATAATGATGGTAACTATGAGTTATCATCTCTACTCACTTTTATCTTCCTCATCCTTTATCATCATCAGCACAATAACAACAACAAAATTATCATCATCATCGTCATCAAGGATACCAACTCAGCTTTCTTGCGTGTTGGCTCATTTCTTGCTCGCATCTCTTTCACCCTTTCCCTTTCTTTCTCTTACATCTTCATCTTCTTCCTCATCATCATCATCATCTCTCTCTCTCTCTCTCTTAACCCAAAAATCTCACTGACGTAGACTACGAACATTCAATCTTCCATGACCTTGCCAATAAGCTGTAAGCATGGAAAACAGAAATGAACGTTTTCTCATTTCAAGTTACATGACTTTTCAGTGTATATCCCCTGTAATCATTTCCAATGTTTACCAACATATCGTTTTCAAGATATCATCATCATCATCATCATCACCATCTTCATCATTATTATACATCTCTTTTTCATCATAACAGTAACATCATCATCAGTTATTATCACTTTAATCATTCCTACTAGACAACAGCAAAATTATCTTTCAATCTTTCATATCCAAGTGATTTCATCTCTCTCTCTCTCTTTTCCTAAATCGATTGATCATCTCTCTCAGATAGAGACTCTCTCATTACAAAAGTATATCTCATCCTTATGTACTGAAGATAATGACCACCACTGACCAATAAGCAATGAGATGACCATCACCATTTGATTAAGATTGAAACAGAAAAACAAACTTAGTTCAACAAATTGTATTGATTGCAAAGTTTGTAGTTGATTTTTTTTACATTCTGTTGATTATCAACAATTTGATTACCACAAACAATTAACTTGTATTGTTACATTTTAGTTGCAATTGGAAAGATAAACTTAATGAAATTAAATTTTCATTTGCTATTTGATCATTGATTGTTTTTTATAACAAATCGACACGAGTTAATTGTGATTCAGTTTCCATGGTGATTAACTAATGTAATATGTTGATAATATTTAATTATGATGAAAATTAACTTTGATTGTTTATAAAGGTGATATTGAGATAAGTTAAATATGTCAAGTGTTTCAAGTCACTTAATCAATTGGCACAATCAGTGTTAATTGTTGTTTATTTATAAGTGATAACCATCAGAAAATTTAATCAACAACATTGACGAAAAGAAAGAGAAACAAAAAATCAGCAAATTGTCTTGAATTAAATTCTGATTAAAACAACAAAATCTTAATCCATCAATAAGATTATCTCCTTTCCGTTTCCTTTTTCCCTCCAATTGATTAAACCTTTCCACCTCCAACCTCACCTTTACAATAATAATTCACATATATAAGATGATGAACATGATGAAAAGGGAGTTTGTTACTGTCAACAAGGAGATTCCATACTTTTAATCATCATCATCATCACTTTAATTCATCATCCATTCAACAACATCAATTATTTGGAGATTATTACTAAACTTCCGGTTCAACTACTTCCTGATTGAAGAAAAAAAAATCTTCTTAATTTTGTTAAACTTTGTGTTCTTTTTGTGTTGTTATTGTCATTGAGTTTTCCAATGATAAGTGATCATCACCATCATCATCCGATGATAAGTTGCAATATTGTGAAATCATAAACGATTAATTTATATATTAAAAGTTCTGATTCTTCATTGAAAATTGAATTTCGAACAGCCTTGAAAAAAGAAAAAGGTAAGTTCCATTTCCTTATAAATGAATATTCTTTAACTTTTAATCTCTTCATCCTGTTTATCTGTTAAATCTCAGAATTTATCTCTATTCTTGTTGATATTTATTTACTATCATGAAATATATTTATTACGATTCTCAATGGTTGTAGATAATATTAGAAATTGAGTTTCAATTGTATTAATCATTTTGTCATGAACAAAGGAAAAAGTGTTCAGAATCAGATTGTTAATGAAAAAACAACATTGAATTTATATCTCATGTATCTGTGAATATAATTATGGAATAATTTAAATAATAATGATGATAATATAATCAACCTTTTAAATATCATCATGATCATCGTCATAAGCTCCTTTGTATTTGTCTCTTACATGATAATATGATGATGATTATGATTATTATTATATAAGAATTGACACAATCTCATGTCAGAATTCATGATGATGATGGAAATTTACTCAAGGAGAAGAAGAAGAAGAAAAAATCAAAGTAACAAAGTAGAAACTCTGATTAGATTTAAAAAGTCATCCATTAGTTAACCTCGATAGACTAATTGTCAGAAAAGGTAATTAAGACTAATTGTCATTCTGTTAACAATTAAATTAGTAGTAAGAAAATGAGAAAATTAAATATTGCAAATTGAAAAAATCTTCAAATATCAAACGATGATAATTAAATTAAATTGTAAATTATCATGATCATCAAACATGACTGAAACTTTTTCAATTGTAGCTGATTAGTTAACTGTGATTAACATGCAAAATTTAAATTGAAAATTTTCATTATCATTGAGATTTTTTCCTCTTTTCCTGATTCATTTTCAACAATCAAATTACGATGATAATGATTGAATATAATATTAATTATTCATTTACGATTGACACAATCAACATTGTTCATCACTTTACCTTTTACATGTATCATTTATTGATAAACAATCAAAACTAATTTCTTGTCTCAAGGCTCATGACAATTAACTAAATGACACAATGATAAACAATACAATTGTTTCAGATTAATATTTGATTGATAGCAAATAATTAAGATGACAATCAATCAATTTCCATGTTGTATTTATTATCAAAGAAATGGGAAAAGTTCTGAGATTATTAATTATTCATTTTCATGAGGAAGAGATGAAAACTCTGAATGAAATGAGAGTAAACATGAATAACCTAATTGTTTCTTTCTCTCTCTCTCTCTTTCTTAATCTCATAGATTTGGAATAATCAATCGGTTGGAATAAACAATTAATTTGCTTTATTGTTACTCGGGCAAATTATTTCCACTAATTAACTTGCATCAAAATTAACTGCTTGAAATTTGATTAACTTTCAACTTGCATGAATCAACATATCAGTTCACCAAAGATAATGAATATAAATTGAATAAAATCAAAGAGCAAGAAAGGAAACAGAAAAGTAAATATTACAATTGTATTAATAGTAAAAGGAAAAAGTTAATATAATATAATAACAATAATAATAATTATCTTGTTATGATTAAGATGATAAAGGTAACAATCAGGGAGTGAGAATTGAGAAGTGGGTGGAAGATAAAAGGAAGAGAAAAAAAAAGTTCTAACAAGAAGAAAATTAACATTCGATAAGATATCATTTTCTTTTTATCGAGTAACATAAACTCAACCAGCGAAGTAAGAAGATAAAGAAAGAGAGAGAGACACAGAGAGAGAGAGAGAGAGAGTGAGAGAGTGAGAGAGTAAGAAAGGAAGAAAGAAAGAGGAAGATTAAAGATGATGGATTAGATAATAATGATAATGATATTTGAATCGAATGAATTGCTTTTGGTGTTTAAGGTTGTTCTTTCATCCTCCTTTGGTCAGTTATTGACCACAGTGAGCTCCAATGTCCAGGGCTATGGATGATAAGGAAGACAAAGATAATAATAATAATAAAGAGCAAAATTTGAGAGAATCATCATTATCATCCTTATCATCATCTTCTCTTTCCATTCTTCTTGAACCTAGTTTATCTTCCACCTCTACACCAACAACTACTTCAACTTGTACACCTTTTGGTTTTAATCGTTCAGTTGATTCATATTCATTGAACATCATGGGTCGTAAAAATTTCAAACCAGAATCTGTATCATGTTTAACTGAATCTCAACCAGTTCCATTGGCAACTGTTAATCCATCTGATGATCAAACCAATAATGAAAGAATGATTAAAATGAAACAATTTCAATCATCGTCATCATCATCATCATCATCACCAAGAACACCAACAGTTAAATCAACATGTACACCATATCATCCTCATCATTATCATCATCATCGTCTTCATCGTGACCATCAACAACAAATGACACCTTCAAATAGACCATCAAGTCATAATAAACATGATGATGATAAAGATAATATCCCAAAGGAAGAGGTAAAAATTTTAGATACATCGACTAACCGATCATCAACATCAACACCACCACAATCAACAACATTGAAACAATCATGTTACTCTACTGATTCAATTGAAGATGATTCAATTTCCATGAGAAAATCAGATAATACTAATCCACTTGGTTTACCTGATTGGAATCAGAATGATCAAAGATCATCATCATCATCATCATCAAATATTAACACAAGTTTAATTAAAAAAGTTTCTAATCCTGTTGGTGGATCAGTAAAATTATCATCTCATTTACCTGGTTCATCATCAAAGGTATCTGATGAATCATCTCGTCATCATGATGCAAATACTAATAGTAGATATTATTATCGACAATATCATCATACGCATCTTCATTCACCTCGAAAAAGTAAAAAGATTCCATGTTCCTCTTCTCGTTGGCTCCATCGATCCTCAAGTGACCCAGGAATGGCTTCATCAGCCACTTATTCAACTCACACTTCAGCTTTACTTTTAACTACTGGGGCTTATTCTGGATCACCAAGTTTACTGACATCATCACTATCACCATCACCAACCCAATTATCATCATCGTCGACAAAAACAACAACAACATTGCGTAATAAAAGTTACTCACCATTTTCTATTTCACCAACTATTACACCAGTCACAACAAAAGTTATAACAAATAAAACAACAACTCCCTCTTCATCTCCTTCACCAACTCCTTCTTGTTACATTGTGCCTTCCTCATCCTCCAATGCCTCATCAACTAAACCAACAACAACACCACCACCACGACCACAATTTGCTCGTTCTCGTCAATTAACCGGTTCACCTGGTCCATCACCATCTCCACCACGAACACCACCACCACCACCACCACCACAACAACAACAACCACAACTTGTGGTTTTAATAAACGAAAAGAATCACCATCATCATCATCATCATCTTTCCATGTGAATCCTTCACCTTCCCCTCCTTTACCTGCATCAGTTAAATTATCATCCACTTGCCAGTCTAACCTTGCATCATCACCAACTACTTCCGGATCATCTTCAGCGTCAAACTTTTTTTCATCCCAAATGTCCAACACGAAAAGATGTGTCCTAAGACTTGATGGATACTCTTATCTTATTGGTAAGTGACCCAAAGTATCATCGTCATCATCAAACCATAAAGCAAGACAAAAAAGCTATGAAAGAGAGAGAGAGAGAGTGAGTGAGATTATCAGAAATTGAACCCGGAAGTGTCACCTAAACACAGAACTGAAAACTAACTTGATTATCATCATGTAACGTGAGATATTATTTGTGTACACCTTGTATCCATTATGCTTGATGAACCATAAAAATTTCACATTTCACTCTGATACCGTTACCATGATGATGGTAATCATGATAGCCAATACTCAGAGAAATAGATGAAATAAAATCTGAGACAACAGAAAAAGTTTCAACATTTACATGGGAATAGTTTTCCAAATGATTTTATCATGAAAAAAAAAGTCCATTGATCTTTATCAATAACATTACATATATTTTATATACTAAATGATATTCAAAGATAATGTAACTTTAATGATGATTATCATTAGTTGATTGTTACCAAATTGAATTAGTTTTTCAAAACCATTAGATACTTTTGATGATGGTTATTATTAATATTTTAAATTGATATAATTTTTTATCATGTAACAAATTTCAATGGATCATCATGAAGATGAGATTACCTTTATTTATTTGAGTTTTTATGAAACGTTTTTTATTTCATGTTAAATTCAATGAGTGAAGATGAAAATTAAATTATCACATGTATTTCATGATATTTATTCTGATGATGATAATAAGAGTAAAATTATATATTAATTGAATTGAAATGAAATCTAATGTGATTGTTATTTATTAACCACCGGTGGATAAATACAATTAATCTGAGACTGAATGTTCAGTTGATAATAAGAAATGTTGAAAGCCATATTCAGGGTAACCAAAAAGTTCAAGTCAATTGGTTTGTTCTGTGTGTGTATTTGAATACATATTGATTGAAATGTGAATATCCAGTAAACTAAACACAGAGAGATGATGATGAGGTGGGTGGATGATGAAAAAGAGTGAGTAGGAAGAGGAACTAAAATCAGATATAACCTTAAATCGATACTTGAATCGATTTTTCGTCTCTCTCTCTCTCTCCATTTCTTTTCCTTTGCTCTCTTTTTTGGCAACTATGCTCATTGAACTTATCATGAAAATATACATAATAATGTTTATCTATTACATATTCCATTGAACTTAATCATTTACTACTCTCATCTGAAGCCCCAGCACAATCTTTACCTCCACCCACCCTCACTCTAGTTAGAATCTCTCTCACTTACCCCACCCCGCTCTCATTTCTCGATACTGAGTATGTATATATATCTCTCTTTCTCTCTACTTTTCACTCTCCCGCTCCCTTTAACTATTTATCCCACTTTCCACTCTGGGCTAAGTGAAAACTAGGTCTCGATAACAAAATGATTAAATAATAGCTCCTGGGAATTTAATGTTTCTCCCTCCCTGTAAGGATATTCATCATGATTATATGACGATTATCATATAACAAATTAAAAAGAAACATCGTCATCGATATTTAATTGAATCGATAACCATTGATAAAATAATTCCCAATCCTCATGATTGACATTATCTCTTTTATCACTCATCAACTGGCCAATATTAAAGTTATGATAATAACAAAATTTTCTGAGCATCAGAATTATTGACATTTAAAAGTTTTCTCATTCCAATTTGATTCCATTCAATATCTTCTTCTCAAATAGTTGAAAATTATTAATACTACATAATCCTTTCTGAGTCTCTCTCTCTTCATGAATTAATGATAATAACTTTATTTGCGTGAGTATGATGAGTGTTCATGATCTGATTCGTGATGAAAAAAAAATAAGTCCCATCAACTTATATGTGTAGTTATTGAATTGGATGAGATTGAATTAGAAAAGTGTTCAAATTTTTAGTTTTCACTGATGAATGAACTTTACTTGTAATGAAATTTAAATCTAATTACATTCAATCAACTGTAAATTATTATCATGATAATCACTGAATCAAAAATGAATCAAATGAATGATGAAATTGACCTATTGATGCTAACTCTTTGAGAGGATATATGATTATAAGAAAAGATGATGAATGGATTTGGAAATTTTTTTTCTCTCTCATTTCTATGGTGTGAAAACAAAGAGGGAGAGAAAAAAAGTTCCAAGAATCCATTAGAATACAGGAAAAAGACTATAACCATTATGAATATATGATTATCATCTCTGTCCACAGGCAATAAATTTATTACCTGCCAAGAGCAGAGAAGAAGAAGAAGAAAAAAAAAGAGTTTCGAACTCTCAGAACTTTATCTGATTGTTAGAACTTTTTCTTTCCTTTTTTTTCCTCTCCTCCTTAACCCACTTTTCTTGATCTATCCGAAATAATCATCATTAAGGTTGATGAGTAGTATCATCATCCTCAATGAACTTTTGTCTGAATTAATCATCACCATTATGAAGATGATAAGAAACACAAACACAGAACCACAAGATTGATAATCAATGGTTTAGTTTGACCAAGAATAATAGGAAACCGGAACTTGAGAAGGAACGAAAAAAATTCATCTTGAACATTATAATTTTCAAAGTTCTTTGTGCTTCACTTTACATTTTGTTATTCTTTTTTTCTTACAGTCTGAATCTCTCGGTGAAATTATATTCATGATAAATATAATTTCTTTATTTTTAGTTCTCTCTATGATATTAAGATGATGAGAAGATCATTATTAAAGTAATCATCATCATCTTTCTCGATCCACGCCCATCATTGAATTGAATTTTCATCCGTATCACACATATTTGATATTCTGTGGATCACTTTAGGTCTCTCTCTCTCTCTCTCTTAATGATAATCATTCCAAATTCAATCTTCATGATAGAAATATTCATATATCGAACAGATAGATAAACACAAACATGGAAAATTATGGCCACTCCTTTAGTTTGCGTTAGAACTTTTCTTGATATTCGAGCTGCAACCAGTTCGATAGTACCTGTTTATCATTTAGGTTTTTTGTTTTCTTTTCTTCCATTTACTTTTTTTTCTTAGCTCATTTTACTTTCATTCATCTGTGAATGCTCATGATGATGATGATGATGATGATAATTTACTTCATTGTTATTAACATTATCAGTAAGAATCACCATGTTATCTACCCTGTTGAATAATTTATTTTCTTCATGATATATTCAGGTTTCACTCTGAATTGTAAATAAGATGATGAGAAATATTTGTCACATTATCTTACTTTCTATCTTATCTTTATTCTCTGTAAAGATAATAAGGTTAAATCTTTAAGAGTGAAATCGATGTGAGTGTATCATGTATATGGAAATGAGAGAGAGAAATAGGAGAAAAAAATCTCTAAATTTGGAACTTTGTGAAATTTATTGATGAACTTTTCTTTTTCTCTCCATCTATCCGAAAGCTAATCTACTCATTACCTGGAAAATTGATCGAATCGATTGAGTAACATTACTCATATAATTCATGAACTCAAGTAACAATATCGCCTCAGGGGTCAGTTGCTTGTTTCTCTCTCATGAAAAGGTTATCATAATGATAATGATGAAAATGATAACAACCATGTAATCGAATCAATGAGAATGTAATGATTCTTATTAAATTCTGATTCAATATTGTCCATGTTCATGAAGACATGAATCTGTCTCAATGAATTTCATGTGTGATCATCAGAATGAGATGAGATCATGAATATCTTATGTTTCCTTTTCTGGACAACAACTTCTTTTTCCTTCTTCTTTAGCACTGATAATATACACGAATTCTCATCGACTCCCAGACAGATAGAACTCTCTCTCTCTCTCTCTCTCTCTATCAAAAGCTATTCTTCTCTATTGTATTTTTTTACCTTACTCTGGATTCTCTTTTTATCATCATGTGGTGATCGAAACAAGATCATAGCAAAGTCAAGAAACCTTTGGAAATACAAAGTTCCCTGTTCGACTTAATCCATAATCTAATACAAAAGTCACTGTACTTTCATTCAATTTACGTTGACATCATTTCTCATCAACCTAATCATCTTCATCCCTCTTTATTTTCATCATTATCTCTCCATCATCTCTGTTCCTCCTCAGAACTTTTTCCATTTTCGCTTATTCATTGAGAATGATTTTTCTCCTCCACCATAGTTGCACTTTGATAATCGAATATCATTTTTGATATTCTATCACTCCCTCTCTGTCTCTCTCTTTTTCAGACACAGAACTTTTCCTTTTTCTTCAAACTCTTCTGATCGTCATGTAATATGGACCTTTCATCACATTTTCTCTCTCGAATAAAGATAGAAATAAATCAACTGGTAGATAAACATTTCGTTTCCCCTTCAAATCACATATTCCGTTAGATTTTCATTCCAATTCTCTATTCAAGTCTGAGCTCTGACTCTTAGACTTATGCATGAATTGAAAGTTTGAACTCTTCTTGGTGCACAAAACATGATAAATCTTGAATCTCCATGACCTGTAATCTTGTGAACATTTCATTCCGATCTAATTTTGATAGAACTGTATTGTTTATCCAATAATAGTCCAACTCATTCCCATGAAAGTTTGAAGAAAGGAAATTTTCAAGTATATAAATCAACGATTCTGAATAATCATGATTACATTTTGGTTTGCAGTTACTTAACATTCACAACTCAACATGAGTCATAACCATGGTGGTTGTTATTCAATGAGATTTTATTGGTAAATTTCATTACCATGAGAGTAGATAAAACAATCATGAATCAGAAAATTATGAAAAGCTCAGAAAGCAAAGAGATGAATCGAGGAAAATTATCTGAATTGAGAAAATTGGAAAATTGAATTTTCAATGTTCCAATGGTCATGTAACAAGAAAAGATGATGAATCCATGAGGATAAAAAATAAGATCAGAATTGAATCATTATCTTCTTAAAGAGGAAGAAGAAAAAAAAAGTAAAAGGAAAAGTTGTTCTTCTTCACTTTGAATCGATATTTAATATCAAAATTTTATCAGAATTTTAATGATGTCATCTTGATTCTCATCATGAAGATAAACTAGTCATTGTTTTTCAATATCCAAAGGAGAGAATGAGGAAAAAAAATATTTACTATGAAAAATTTCACCATGAACAAATTTACGATTGAATTACTTGAAGAAAACTCAATCAGAACTTTTCTCAGTTTTCCCTCATCATCATGTTTATCAGATTTATTCCTGAGCCCTGAATCTTATTTATACAAACCAAATATTAATAATAACTTGAATTTACTTCACTTTTGATTATATTTTTTTTCTTCCATAGGATTCAGATTCTATTCCCACTTCATGACGATTTTTCTCAAACTTTCTCATGTATTCTGATGATTAGATATA